TCCTTCATCCAAACATCAGTCCGAGGAGCCACAAGAAACTGTCACACAAGCAGCACACTCACAAAGTGGACCAACCAGTTTGCTGGTGAAAAGATGGTTTCTGGGGCCTGCTCTCTCCCCCATCGACTCCTCTGAGGCAGCCATAGCCAAATTGGTTCAAAACATCAAAGTTCATGCTCAATAATCCATCAGACTGATGAAGTCCTTTCGATGAAGGACGTCTCAGCAAAAGAGAAGAAGCCATCCAGATGACCTGAATGAACTTTGTTGGTACTTGTACTTGTGTCCTGCCTTCCTCAGTGTTTCTACCTTCACATTGTCAGCTCCTGGTTCACCTGTTCCTAATCCCAGTCACCCCATGGTGGTCATCATTATGTCTTGTTAGTCCCTTTATGTTCAGCATCCTGGTGTTCCCTGGTTGTTTGAGCATTGTGTGTTCCCTCTGTTTCCTCCGTGTCTCCATATTCCCACATCTTCATGTAAGTTCTGCCGCCACATCAGCCTTTTATTTTTCTTGTTTAATAAACTAATTTTTTTATTTTTATCCCTGAGCTCCCCGTGTCTGTCTGCAATTGGGTTTCACACCTTGAACATGACTGGCAGTTCCACTTCACTTCAAACTTGGATCCTCTACCAGAGGCCTCGGAGCTCGAGGGCCCCGTGCAGTATCTTAGCTGTATAGGATTGCTCTCTTCTGGACATATCTGAGGTTGTTCCTGGCATGTGTTGGAGCCACACTTCCTGTCTGGAGGTCACTGCACCAGGTGCTCCTATGACCACTGGGACTGATGACACCTTGATGCTCCACAACATCTTTAGATCCTCTTTCAGCCCTTGATGTATCTTGAGCTTCTCGTCCCTTGAGATTGCTACGTCTGTCACCACCGCCTTTTATTGCTTGTCAACCACCACAATGTCCAGTTGGTTAGCAACTGGACATTGAATACTTAACAAGTATCCGTTCAAATTGGTCTATGATACAACTCACTCCATGCTTTTATATAAAAAAGTCATCTTCTTCAGACCAAATAACGTTATTTAATCTTCACAGAAAGCTGAGATGTTCTTTTCTCTTAATACCTGCAGTTCTAGTCGTCCTCATGTCTTCTACGCTATAATTCACATCAGAGCAGGGGTTGTTTTACTTAATTTAGGATCAAAGTTTTCTTTTTCTTTCTCTTACCTTCATATTAATATCTATCCATCTTTTACCCAATTCTTCCATTTTGTGTCGCGGGGTTCACCGTCAGTGCCCCTGTCCAGCAATCACTGTGCGAGAGGCGTGGGACACTCTGGACAGGTCTCATCACGGGGACACATAGAGACAAACGAGACAAACAACCACTCACTCTCACCTACCAATCAGCCTAAGATGCATGTTTTTGGTCTATGGGAGGAAACTGGAGTACCTGGAGAAAACCCATGCATGCACAGAGAGAACATGCAAACTCCACCCCGGACCGGGATTTGAACCAGGGTAACCTGTTCATTGAGAGGCAGCGGCTCTACCAACTGCACCACCGTGCTGCCCTTCATATTAATATCTTTTATCAATCTTAAATCTTAAGGAGGAGACTGTTTTGACGCATTGACAGCTTATTTGCAACGCCAACGGTGAAACAACTGTGTTGCTCTGCCGTAGCTCCTATTATTTATTTTACATCTGTCTTAGATTTCAGCTTACACATTTCACCATAATGTCAAACTTCCTGTCTCAAACTACGGAAGCCTAATAGGCTAACAAAGTAACTCAAACTCTATTTAAACAAACATAAATGTTAACTATTATAAATGGCACTATTAGACAAGTAGGACGTAATTTCACAAAAAACTGGGTATTGACTGTAACTGGTGATTTCCAAGAAGAGGACTGAGTCTAAGAGCCGAAGAATTCTTCCTACTTTGACCTCCCTGTTTGCGAAGGTTATCGTTTCACAGGAAACGGCCCGAATTGGAATGGAAACTGGAAGGAAGATGTCTTTTGTTTTTTTCTTTTTATAAGGTCAGCGGGTAGCAAGTAATGCAGCCGAAATCAGTGTTTAGTTTAAGTCTGCTGACGAGGGTCAAGTACGAGAGTGACGAGCTCGTCCGTTTGTATTCACAAAGGAGCTAATTGTGGTCTAGTCTGCAGTTTCTGATAGTTTTGCACGCCATTCCTTACTCTTGATGTTTTTTTCTGTAACTAATCTCATTTAGGGGAAACCCTGAGAAAAAGGATGTGGACTATTGTTAGCAAACATTCCTACACCACATGAAAAAAAGCGATGTTACAGCTTTTAAGCTTGTGTCTTTAAGCCTAAAACAAGTATTTTAAGATGTAATGAAAGTTAAAAAAAATAGTAATAATACATCTGTATAAACATCTGCTTCATCTTCCACTTTAAATTTATAGCTCAATTTTAATTTAATTTAAATTTCACAGCTCAGGTGTCACAAAGTTTTAGATGTTCACAGTTCCCAATAAACAATTCTAGTTTATTCTAGAGATTTCTCTAATACCTCTTTAACATACGTTTGTTGTTTAAAGCAAAGCAATAGAGTCAAATAAAATGGAACCTAATAAAAGATAACCTTTATTGTCCCTCATTGGTGACATGCAGGTGTACCAGCAGCAGTGACCGGTAAATCAAACAAGGCAGATTCACACAAAGGTAAATACTGTACATGTGCATGTGTGTTTTTGTACATATAAGCAACACACTAAGACATGGAAAAACTGTGACAGCAGGGATGTAAACACTTATTGATGGGTGATTGTTAAAGTTTTATCAGCTGCTGGAAGGACCTGCGATATTCCTTTGTGCACTTCAGAAGCAGCGGTCTGTCCCTGAAGGAGCTCTCCAGTTCTGTAACTGCTTCACGCAGGAGGTGGGAGACATTATTGAACGAGTTCTTCTGTCTCCCACCACCTGCACCAGATCCAGGAGGCATCAGAGCTGGCCTTCCTGCTTCCTCTCAGCTGTAGAGAAGCTGCTACTCCATCAGACTACACCACAGAAGAAGGCTGATGCCACCTGAGTCAAACAAGGTCTTCAGGAGCGCCCCTTGTACTCCAAAAGACCTCAGTCTCCTCAGCAGGTAGAGTCTGCTCTGAGCCTTCCTTTAAAGAGCATCAGTGTTGTAGGAACTGACAACTAGACATCAGAGGTCCGGTCTCTCGGTTTTAAAATTCTTAGGATTTGCTCTGCATGACAGAAAATCTACACAAACACACCACCGTCACATCGATATAGTTTGAAACATAGCTAAAATAATTTCAGTCTACCATATCTAAGTTAAGGCAGGTCCTCTGGACGGTTTCTTTTTGTTGAAACGTTTCGTCTTTCATCCAAAAGGCTTCATCAGTCTGAGGAGCTGCAACAAACTCAGTCTTATAAATAGCACCTTCTCAATCAGTTCGATGGTGCTCAGATGGTTTCTGGAGTCTGCACTCACCCCTGCCGACTCGTTTGAGGCAGTCATGACCAAAATGGTTCAAAATCTCCTGATTCAGGTTCAATAATCCAGGGAGGAAAATCCAACAAAAAGTCAGGTCCTCTGGACGGTTTCTTTTTCATCCAAATGACTTCATCAAGTCCTTAATGTCTTGGGACCTTAAGTTAGGTCCAGAGAACCTGACTTAACGTTGTTGGGTTTTTCTCCCTGGATTATTGAGCATGCATCAGGAAATTTCAGTCTACCTTTTTGCAATTAATCAAGCGACATCTACAGTATAATTGTCTTTTCATTTGTGTTAGTCTCAGGTGTTGGGTAAATGTGTGCAAGTAAACCAGTAGAAGAAATACTGTATTTAGGTTTTATTTTCTGGTGTATTTTAATTCATATACCAGTATGTGTTAATTAGAATGTTGTTTTGGCAACTGAAAAGGTCTGTGGAAGTACAGAGCCTGAGCAAATGAACCACCAAGTGTAACAATGATCACATCAAACATTGGGCTGGTACATTTTGGGAACAACTTTGATGCTGACATACAAATGATATAAAATGGTCAGGACAAATATTCATGTTTACAGGTATATATTTTTTAAATCATTTATTATGTTTTTTTTATCTACTAACTTGATTCAAGTCTTCTGAAGTTGGGTTCTGTGGACAACTTATCAACAATCGACATGTTACTTGTAGATACTCTTTAAATGAACTCTGTTTGGAGCAGGAGTTTCATGTTCAATCTGACAAGCCAGCAGCCTGCTGACTTCTTTAGATAGATAACGTGTACCAATTGGCTTTTATAATATATGTGAATGTTTCTGTGCAGCGCTCTGACTTCTGCTGTGACTTGGCACTGTATAAATAAACTGAATTGAATTCTGACTAAACTTGACGAGCTAACAACTAGTCCAAGAGGGCCTACGACCAAAGTGGATTGCTGCCATCCTAAAACAACTTCAGGCTTATAAATTTCATTTTGGTTCATGTTACCTAATCAGAATTAAACTTCTTTTTTTGTTTGTTTTTCAAACTGGGGCTGATCACAAATCTACCTTCAACAGGCAGGGTATTAATTGTTTAACTTTTTCATAAAACCCGATTTCAGAATATTTGATCTGTACGTTTTACTTTTCTGTAAAGTGTGGGATTTAGTTTAAAGGGGTATTTTCATTAAATAGAATCAAACTAATTAAAGTATGCTGTTACAATGGAAAGAGAATGTCACTTTAATCTGTCTCTGGCTTTTTAAACAACAAACTTTCCCTCCGACTAACAGGATACATTTGTGATTCCAGCTTAGTCACTCCTTCCTGTATGGACTTTACGCCTGGCAAATGGATGTGAATTAACAAAAAGCCAAGACAACACAAAGTAAAAGAGGAGGAAAAAATCTATTTTAGGACTTTAGGAGTTCATAAAACACCTTTCACATTTCACATAAATGAAAGTGATGTGAAAACACATTCACACTTGATCCTCAGAGTTGAAAAATGCTGCATTTGACTGAAATGATAGCGGAACAGAACATTGTAGCATTATCATGTAGTTTTCCAGATTATGACTCATGAATAAAGGCAGAGAGATTATGATTTATACTCCTATTTCTTATCATCGGACCAAGTGATTTCATAGTTGCTGAAGACGGTCTTCAGCTTCTCCACAGACACAGAGTGCTCTGCTTTGCCAAAAGCCTGAAAATGAAAGAGAAATAATTTACATTAGCACCTTATATGAAAAAAATATATATACATATATTTTTTTTATTTTTTTTTATTTTAGGTCTGTTTATTAAAATAAACTTACAGTCGACTCTCCAAACACCCTGATTTTCTTCTCCTTGCCGTTATGCTCAATCTTCCCTCCTCCGAGGCATTCACACTCCATCCCCAAGGCCTCCAGAGCTGGTTTGACTTTGTCAAATATGTGATCTGGAAATTATAGAAATATTCAAAAAGTTAAAGTAAAACCAGCAAAATCCAGGGAAGTTGTTAACATTATCCAAACTTCATTGGCATCCATCGTCTTTAACCCGCTTCTTCCTTTTCAGGTCACTAGTGCCCATGTCCAGCAGTCACTGTGCAAGAGATTGGGAACACCCTGGACAGGTCTCCAGTCCATCACAGGGACACAGAGAGACAGATGAGACAACCATTGATTCACTCTGGACAATTTAGAGTTACCAATCAGCCTAACATGCATGTTTTTGGTCTGTGAGAGGAAACCAAAGTACCCGGAGAAAACCCACACATGCACAAAGAGAACATGCAAACTCCATCCAGAAAGGCCCCCCAGCTGGGATTTGAACCGGCGACCTACTCGCTGAGAGGCAACAGTTCTACCAACTGCACCACCGTGCTGCCATACTTCATGGAAACAGAGGCGAGTTTACAAAGATTCGCCAAAATTAGACAAAAAGGTTAGAAAATTATCACCTGTCCTGAAGACTCTTTGTTAAGATTTGTTTAGATACCCCAACAAAGTTAAGTCAGATCATCTGGATGGTTTCTTTGCGTTGAAACGTTTCGTCTCATCCAGGAGACTTGTTCAGTCCGAGGAGCCACAACAAACTCAGTCTTTTAAGTCGCACACTCGCATGGTGGTCCAACCAGTTTGATGGTGATAAGATGGTTTCTGAAGTTCGCCCTCTCTATTTCTCCCTCATGACCAAAGTGGTTCAAACTTTGCTGTTTTGAACCACTTTGGCAAAGGCTGCCTCAGACGAGTCGGCGGGGGAGAGGGTGGACTCCAGAAACCATCTTATCACCACCAAACTGGTTCAAGGATTCAAGATTTTTTTTATTGTCATACCAGCTCACATTTGCATGTTTGTGGTACGGAATTCGGACTCGGGTCCCAGATCCAGAAGCCTAACAATTAACAAATAAATAAATACAAAATATTATAACTATATATAATAAATAAAGTTAAAAAAAATGTAAGCTGAAGCTGAATTAAGTGCAGCTCGAGTTCAGCAGTCTGACAGCTGCAGGGAAGAAACTGTTTCTGAGTCTGGTGGTCTTGCTCTGAATGCTCCTCAGCCACCTGCTTGAGGGAGGGGCTGGAACAGACTGTGTGCAGGATGAGTGGAGTCCTTCATGACGCGGCACACACACTCCCTTCATCTTGAAGTGTAGAGGTCTGAGGTGGTGGAAGGCTGTTTCCCAGAGTCTTCTGTGCAGCCCACTATGTTGGCCCACTACGTGAGTGTGCTACTTAAAAGAATGAATTTGTTGTGGCTTCTCGGACAGAACAAGTCTCTTGGATGAGATGAAACATTTCAACACAAAGAAACCGTCCAGACGATCTGACTTAACTTTGTTGTTTTTTTTTTTACCTGGATTATTATTATGAACTTTGATGATTTGTTTAGATAATTGTGTGTGAAAATCCCAGTTAATGAGCAGTTTGTGAAATATTGACCACCCCATATGATACTTATAATTATGCCCCATTCAAAACTACTTCAATCCTTAATTTTTATTATTCTGTAATTTCCTGCAGTGTATCTATATATAAAGTATCTATCCATTCTCTCTTCACTGGTCAGAGGTGCTAAAAGCATATCACTGACACTTCAAGTTGCACTGATCGCTCCTCGTGCAGAAAACTTACTATGGTACTCTGCAGCTTTGGTGCCTCGCACTATGTCTTTCTGCTTATCGCCATCTTTCACTCTCACCAAGATGTATTTAAAAGTTCCTTCAGGATCGATCTCCACGTCAGGGACTTTAGTCAGAGCTTCGGCCATAGCGTCTCTCAAACTGATCCGAGGTCTGTCAAAAGCAGCGAACATCCGATTGGCTTAAGTTTGGACCATATATGGACATTCTATTTCCGGTTTTAAAGGGACAGGACACTCATTTCCATCCAGACTGATGTATTTGCACGCTGGTGACACCACATGGCAACAAGAAAACGTTTTCACGTTACTGCTTCTTTTTCTTACTTTTATTTTCCCCCCCTCCAGACAATTTTTTTCTAATTTAGAGATAAAACAAATAAAAATAATCACCAGTCTGTGTTGCTGCACGTCCATTTCCTCCTATGTTTGATTTGATTATTTCCTGCTCCCATAGAAACATTTAGCTCTTGTTTTCCACAACACACAGATCATAATCAACTTTTATTAGGATGTAATTTTGGTTCATGAACAGTGATGATTTTAGTCATGGCTGCTATAATCTCATAGTTAAATTATCTTTATAAATAACATTTTATATTGGGAATGAAGCAAAAATCTCACTTCTCAAATGAGTCTTCTCTTTACTACTATAATCAAATACTAATGACTTAAAATAAATGTGCTAAGTACTGTCTACAAAGAATGTGCAATCAAAATAAAAAGTCTTCTTTATAATATAAGTACAATAAAATCTCTACTTTAGTGTTAAATAAATCTGCAACAGACGTTCTAATCTGGTCTGAATCAAAGCTCGAGTTTGATTTCTCCCCAGAGGTTTGCTCGGTGTGAGTTAATTAAAGAGTTTATATTGTTTTTCTGGGGAAGAGGTGGAGGTTGCGAGGTGTCAAGGAGCTGTGGTTTGTGTGTACAGTGCACCGAGCCAGAGAGGAAGGATGTGAACTGTCACTTTGAGTCAAGGGCAGCCAGCAGGCGCCTCTGCTCCTGCAACACCTTTCCCATCCCAAGGCACTTCTCAAGAAGACGTCTGCTTTCTGCTTCTTTCTCCGTCCTTGGCATGTTCACATCCTGGACTTTTCAAGGGTTTTTTTTTTTTTTTTATCCAACAGGTTCTAGTAGTCCATGCATTGTTTGTTGTAGCATTCCTTACAGATGTGCATCTCGTCCGCCACCTTTCGTGACATGTTTTAAACTAAAAATGTTTCAGGCTGAAAAGATCAAAGTCTATAAATTACATTTTGCACAATCTCATGTAATATTGTGAGATCTTGTGAGATGTTGATTGATCTCATCCCTGTCTGCGTTTAAATCCCTTCTCAAAACTCATCTCTTCTCCCTGGCCTTTGACACCATCTGAAATGATGATTTTTAATTATTTTAATCATTCTTTATCATCTGATTGTTTTATTATGTGAACAGCACTTTGGTCCTGTGGTAGTTTAAAGTGCTCTATAAATAAAGCTGGTATGGTATGTGCTGGAGCTCAGGGAATGACTGAGGATGGTGCTCAGCTACTACCACACTTAATATACCACAATATCCTGTAGGCTAAGGTTGATTAGCTGTAGTGGCCATCTTGAAGTAGCTTGATCTCAAACATTAATGAGTTGTAGGTGTACATTCAAACACATTAATTTTATGTGCAGTATATTGTTTAAATTATTATATATATATATATATATATATATATAT